TCAGCATATAAAACCCGGTAAGCTGATAGCGCTATATCTTAGCCGACCCGATCATAAAAATGTCCACGAAGAGCTGAGGCTCGTGTGTAACGCATCCCATCGCATAAATACGAACGGAATACACGTACGGTGGTGTGGTGGTATTCGTAAAAATAATTGGAATAAAAAATGTCGGAATTATGTTTTTCTCTTGTTTTCTTCGGTTATTCGAGGTAGCACGGGATTGGCCTTTTTATTATTCCGGTTAAGTATGCAAGCTCCAACCATAAGCACTCAATTAGTTTTATGATTTTTCAGCCCGAATGTTTGTATATAACAAGAAGACTTTAATGGTTCCAAGTTTTAAGGTTGTTTTGTATTTTATTTATAGAGAAGAATTAATTCAATACAGAAATGGTCCAAAGAATGCTCCTTGCGGAATACTTTTTTTACTTTGAAAGTAATAAAAAAATCTACATACACTGTTATAAAAATCAGATTTGTTAACATGAGTTTGTAGTTTGTTAATTTTATTTTGTTTAATTTTAACAAAGAAAAATATTGTATTGTTTTATAAAGGTAATATACAATTTTGTAAGCATTTTGTTAATATCAAGTGAAGTGGGTTAAAGTTACGAAATATATCAGTGTTGTAGTAGTACTGATAATTATTATATTGTACCAAATTTCTTTATATATAAAGAAATTATAATTTGATGATTGTGTGTATGTTGTTTTTAACATTTCTTATCAAAATTTTTTTAAATTAAGTTTCCAATTTTCAACAATAAGGTTTTTTTGAAAATTATAAGAAATATGGTTGAATTATTGACATAGGATTTAAATAAAATCTACAAAATGTTTGTTATAATAATTACAAACTACTTATTTAATTACTTGTAAACTTAACATAAAGTTATGTGGGCCTGGATTAACATAAAATCTGGTTAATATTTGGTTAAAATTAACAAATATTTTTACATCTAAATATTGGAATTTTTCATAACGCAATGTAATATAACTAGTGCCGCATTAGCATATTAAAATATTAAAATAACAATATGGATGGGTAATAGGCGGTTATGTTTTTATCTAGACATGTGTGGACTAAGATAAAACTAAATTATAGTAATCCAACTCTGCGTAGCCGATTATTAGGGCCCCACTTACATCGAGCCCGCTTTTTTTATTAATTCGATAATCAAAGTTATTAGAAGTTAATGTTGGTATAGTTGTACTTAAAGGGCTATTTATTATTTTACTTTGTGAAAGATAGAAATAACTGTAATTTTTGGTTGTGAGAGTTTACCGACGGAACCTAAACTATGTGGGAGTACAAAATCTATAAAATCATTTAGTTTGAATATAATACATTAATTATGGCGGTAAAGTACTAATATGTTTGAATAATTGCTTTTTAAATGCCTATAACAAAATAATTCAAGGTTTCAGATAGGCAATTTGATAATGAAAAAGTAAACAGGATATTGACTGATTACACAGATATATTACTAAATAATCACAAAATAACCCAACAAAGCCTGTTTTGTCGTCAAGTCACAATAAAAATAAAAAGGCCACGAAAAAATGTCATCTTGTAAATTTATTTCTCAAAGGCAGCTGCCCATTTTTTAAGCCAGGTAACAATAGGAGGGGGTAGCCTTTTTATTGTTGTTGATGTTTCGAAAAAATTGCTACGTGTTCTTTATTCAAATTTTTATTATGGAGCTAAGTAACTTAATATTTTCTCGTTTGAATAAATTTCAGATTTCGTGAGGTAACTTGTTATTTTTAAATAGGTGTACCGCGAGGTTCATACTTTGGACCATTAATATTTGCAAACTCAGATTTTTATCTAATCTACTACAGAATGACTTGAACCTCTGTGGAATTCGCTGGAGTTGGGTACGTAAATGCAAAACAATTGATCATTTAATACATGTGTCACAAACACATTTCTAGGAATATTTGTTTGTAGTTTCCCGGCCTGCTATCGGTCTGAATTTAAATCAAACATGCTTCGGGATTTTGAGAAACTCGTCCTGTCAAAGTTTGTACCTCATCATTTCGTTTCAGTCTTTTTTATGTTCGTGTGAAAGAATAAAAATCTCAAATATGTTATTCGTTAATTTGTCGAAGGTTAAAGACAAAAGAATGCTGCCCCGAAGAGTAGGTATAAAATTAAATTAACCAAATATATTGTCCACTAAAAGTCGAAATATTTATCTTTCTTGAACAGGTTTTTGAAAATAAATAAAAAATACTCAAAATTTATCTAGTCCATTCAATTTCACGATAAAAATTCAGGTTATCAGAAATCAAACAGATAAAATCAAATTTTAGCTTCTTCAATGTAAAACATTTTTATCTTTATTTGCTTACTTTTTATTTATCTGCAAAAATTGCAAAGCAAACAAAAAAATCTATAAACTAGTTTTTCTAGTTTCAAATTTAATATCGCTTACCTACGTTAAGTAAATTTGTAGTGAATAGAAAGTGAATTCTACATTTAGTTAATGTCTTTTTCTGGGAAAATTTCCGAAGGTATTCGTACGATTTATAGGCCTTAAGTCGAAATAAATTTGTTGGGTTAATGAGTGTTCTGCTTTGGCAATAAAATCTAACTGTATACAAAATACCTACAATACCTTAATTAGATATAATACATTATTATAAACGAGATGAATAAAGCATGTATAAAAGAATAGTATATTGTGTATCAAGTTTTATAAAAAGCCAATTTGGTTACGAGTTTTATTAGGCACGAGCGGGTGATTAATAAAAACGAGTGTCTAGAGAAGTTTATAAAACGAGTTGAAAAACTATACTTTATCTACGACTATTAAAGGAAGAATTTAAAGCCAATTTTATTTTATAAACATTTGACATCTGTCTAGTGTATACGGGTTTAACCTCACTTTTTCCTAATTTATAATAAAGCTAACTTCAGCTCGTGACTAAAATGCCCAAAAGCCACTGTTGTTAACTTCAGCCCGTGACTAAAACGCCACAAAGTCACACACAGCTCGTCAATGGGGGAGTAAATAAAATATATTATGGTATTTAAATTATAAATGTTTAACCTATAGGTAAAAATTTATAATTTAAATATATATAAAATATATTTTCTTGTGAAGATGACAAAAAAGAGTTAATTTATATAGTTTTAGGACATTTAAAAAAATACTGGTGGTTTTTAGAACCTTTTAGGGACTGTTTTAGAACAATACAAGCATTTCTAGAAACAGTAACAAAAACATTTTAGAACATTTTTAAAACAATTTAAAGGAATTAAAATAGATTAAATGTTGTTTAAAACGCAGTTTTAAACATATTCAGGCATTTAAAGAAATAGAATATTTTTAAGACAAGTTCAAGGAATTTTATAAAAAAAAATAAAACTATTTTAATCAGCGTTCCTATGTTTAAAACAAACTATTTTAAACCTATTTAAAACAGTTTTACAAATTTAAATAAATTTAAAGAGTAGGTATTTAAAAAAAATCCTATTTTGAGATGGATCAAAAACTGTGACCTTATAAATATAAAAAATAATAAAAAATGGGATACGACACTAAAAATTAACGACAATTTGATATTCTAAAATTTAAATTTTATTTGACATTTTATTTAACATCTGACAACTATCAAGCAGTTTTAACCTCAATTTTACAAATCTAACAGGTTTAACCTTACTTTTCCTAATCGGACATCTGTTAATCGGTTTTAACCTCACTTTTTTCAATGTGATGCCCTACACTCAGAGAAATATCATGCCATGAAAAGCATATAAAATAATATTAATTTAAATAATCGGGTAAATTTGATTCAAATAGAAAAATTTGTAGTTTTATATTCATTTACCAACAGTTTTACAATACATTTGAACACTTTTAAAGCGTACCCTCTTTAAAATAGATATACAAAAAGAAATCTATTTATTTCATTGCCTTTCTCAACGTTGCAACGTTGTTGTTTCAAAAAAATATGTAATATAAAATTGTTATAAACCTATTAATTTAATGGGACACACCAATGACGCCAAAACATATTTGAATCCCTTTGAATTATTATCGTTTTGAATGATTCTACAACATTTTTTCTCTCAGTGTAGTGCATTAGGTAACTTAATAAACCAATGTATTAAATGGAAATAGATAAAAAAAGAACAAATCTTGTCAAAATTGTCAAGTACTAATATAAAAAATGTTAAATGTACTGAAATATCCAAAAATTTATTAAAACTACTTTAAAAATTTAAAATGAAATAAAATGTTCCAAATTGTCATCAAATAATTTTTTAAACGCACTAAAACTGTTTTTAACCATCGTAAAACTGCCTTGATAATGTTTTTAAACAGTTCTAATACTACTTTTTAATGCCTCAATATTGCCTTTTAATGAAAAAATATACTTAGTTTTTTTGTTTAATTTTTTGTTTTAAACTGTTAAAAACGCTTGGTAAAAAATGTTTTAAACGTTTATAAATGTTTTAAACCAGTTTAAAAATTTAGAGTCGCATCGCACTTCCTTTAAAAAATATTGTAGATATACTGTTTAAAATAAATTTGTTAAAAAACAGGTAAACATGTTTAAAACAAATGTTTAAAAAAGTATAATTTAAACATATGTATATGTTATAACAACCCTGAATAAAACAGTTTTTTTTCTTAAATGCCTTAGTCTGAGATTATTTTTTTAAATGCCTTACAATTGTAAATAAATAGGTACGATACTTTGTTAAATTAGCGACGAATTAAGATACGACACTTTGTATTATTATTATAATTAAGAATGATATGATGAGCTTAGGCTTTTTTTTAATCGAATTTTTAAACATATTTTTACTACTTTTTGAGATTTTCCATTTTTTTAATTTTACAATTTACCTTAAATTTTTGCACAATTTTGTATGTTTTATAGCGTTTTTTTTTGTTTTTTTTTCACATACATTCTATAAATATATTCACTTTAATAGAAAATTATATAGTAACAAAAAAAACATATTTTTTTGAACTTACCGTGACTAGCTACACTTCCGTAAGGCGAATGCATGCTCTGGTGGTAATACCGGCCGGGCTGCGTCCTGGAGGGGTCCAAAAACAGGCCCATGTGCTCAGCGACGCTGGAGTTTGTCTCCGAGTTTCCACTGTCGACGCCTTGCCCGCCCCCGGGGGAGGCTGACGTGCCCGTTCGCGGCGTATCGTACCAACGGTTCACCGCCGAATCGTTGGTCATCTCCATAATCATTTAAAATACCGAGAAAAACACTGAATACACTTTAAAATCGCTTCTACGTGGAATGTCAAATGGCGCAGTCACTGTTCACAACTACGAAATCTGTGCGATTGTCTTTTTGGAGCATCTTTGATTGGTTGCGACGGTCGCGGCTCACTATCTGCAATTAAAAATACCGGGTTTAGATCGATGTGCATATGTTAGGTTTTTTATCGGTGTATACATATATTTTTAAACGATTTGTTAATTGATAAGGGATTAAATTTGAGTGTGTTTTTTATCTTATCAAAAGCGTGTGAGATATTTTAATGTTTTTTATTACTTAAATATATTAAAAAATAAATAAAACATTCTTAATACCTATAGGTATAGTACCTAAGTATACTTAGATTTGTTTGTTTCTGTAGCAACAATTTTGTTTTTTAGATTATACCTATAAGTATACTTATAACTTTTAAGTACCTATACTAAGTAAATATATATAGGTACATAGAAAAGTATTATAATAGTTTTTTCTTCTATATTTTTATTTATTATTTTATATTTATATTATTGTTCATAATTTTCTATTATTATCTATTTATATATGTATATATGAATATATATCCATGCATATACGATGGATCAAAATATTTTTGTTTTTTCTTTCTTAATTGAAGTTTTATAAAAAATAATTATTATTTTTTATTATTGGGCCTATAGGCCTAATGGAAATTTAAATATTTTTTTTATTATATACTTTAAAAATTTAGTCAAAAACAACTAAAGTTATTAGTGGCTGCTTTTTCACTTATACCATGGTTAACCATGGCATACCATGGTATCCCCAACATCATCAACACAACAGCCAATTCTTTTGTAAAATTGTTCCCTGAATCCGAAAATACCGTCAAAAATTATAAAGGTATATCTTTATAATTTTTATATAGAGCAGTTTTTGAGAAATAGTCAATTCCATATTATATGAAAAATTGACTATATCTCAAAAACATTTTCGGGTACAGAGGACAGGTTCAGGATACAAATTGCTATTGACGAGAATTATTAGTGGCTGCTTTTTTGCTATTACTTAAGTAGTCATTTTTGACTAATTCATTTTTAGAGAATAGGTATATATATTGTATACAATTGAAATTATTATTTTCATGAAAATCCATAATTTTTCAAGTTGTAAATGTTGTGTGATTTTTAAACTTTTAATATTTTATTTACATTTAGTATTTGGTTGTTTTAGAAATGGGTTTTAGTTATTTTAGTAAAAATTATATTCGCAAGAAGGTACAAAATGCTTTTTCCATAGTAGGTATACTATAGATAGGTATTAGACAATTTTAAATTAATTTTTACAATTTTATTATCATGTTTTTAAATTATCTTTTTTTTCATATTTTGTCGAATTTTTTTTAATTATTTAGCACTGTTTTTAAAATTTTTCAAGTCTCCAATGTGGATATTCAATTTTTTTAAGTTTTGATAGATTTTCATATACCGAGTCTCAAAATTTCCAATACCACCTATAGGTGGGTAAGTATACCTATAGTATCAATAAATACTACGATTTGTACAATTCTTATAAGTATAACTACAGTTATAATATTTTTGCATTTTTACTAAATTTTGTAAATTCTATAGAATCAATTTTTTACAAAAATTAACCATCATATTCTTAGGATTTAAATGGAACCCACAACAGTGGATGAGACACGAAACCTTTTAATTTATTTCACTAATTAACCGCCAAATAAAAAACAACCAATCATAAATAAACCACCATTTAGCATAAATGTATTATAAGTAAACATTAATATACGTTAGGTTTATCAATTAGGCACTAACATAATAAAATTATGCCGATTTTCAATCCGATCTGAATCATATCGCCTTATTTCCCTATCTATCAATCTAGCAATCTGAGATTTAATCTGCCCAACAAAATCACTTACCTATTTACGTTGTAAAAAATCAAAATCCTATGCATGTGTAGGTAGGTATATCCGCGCACTCACAAATACAATAAAAACACAGTCAAAATTCAGTGCAACTGTCAAAAAAAACACAACAACAAAACACAGTCAAAATATCGCTGACATCACAAATGCCCTTTTACGCAACGCTCACGCTCGTATACACGACCGAACTGAAGTGTTGCTATAGTTGCATTCCCTAGTTTCCCTTGGCAACGAGGTTCGCGACGACTCGGCCGAGTTCGGCGCGAACGAGCCCATCAGTGGCGAGCTTTCAGGTTGCGGGCGTGGTCGAGTAAATCGGGGCGTGGTCAAGGCAGAGATGATTCAATTTTCCTTGTGTTTGACTGCGAATTTAGTTGTGTTAGAACTTTTAGAACTATGCTAAACAAATATTTAGATTATAGAAAGCCTCTACACACACTTTTTAACCTTAACAACGATATTTAAGATTTTCTTTAATGACGCTCAAATATAGTTGACAATAGTTTTGACGTTTACTTTCAAAGGTAACGTGATTTTTCCGAAAAAATATCGCTATCGTTTAAAATCGCGTATTAGCGTTAATTTTTGCACAGATAGATTGATAAAAAGGGTGGGAGATTATCCAATGAGATAAGCGGTCTAACAAAACACTACTATTTGACAAAATGGCGGCCACAAATCAAGTGGCTCCGCCTATTTAACGATTGTCTGCCCACTTTCGTGTAACATGTTTTGGTATTGGTTCTCTTTTTAATTCTTTATTCCTTTTTTCCTCTTGCTGTTATACCTAAGCTGATCTGTCTTCTTGTTCTCTCTGTGTGTGTAAGCTTCTTTTGTTTTATTTTCTTTGTAGTAGTCATGGCTTGCATGTGCTAATATTTTAGTAGGGGTTTAGATAGGGATTTATTTGGGATACAGATTTTTTATGGCATCTGGAAACTTTATTTTGGATTCAACATGTAAAACACGAGTTGTAAAATAAAAAAAATACGAATTATTGTTCAAATATTTTAGTAGGGGTTTAGATGGAATTTATTTTTTAATGCAGATTTTTTTAAAGCATATGGAAAGGTTATTTTGGATTCAACATGTAAAATATACTAGTCGTAAATTAAAAATAAACAAGTACCTATAGGTATATATACAAGTATATCTACTTGTACCTATTCACAAAACTTTTGTCGCATTGAAAATATTTCTGGCATTTGATTTTTTTATTTGAATATATGTAGGTATATTGTCAGGCGCATATATGCGGGAAAAAAAATTGGAGGGGGCGTTGGTGAAATTTAAGATCTATCATACTCTTAAATTTCACTAATACCATCTATATATAGATCTATAGATAAAATAAGCTATCATTTACATATAAATATATACCTATAGGTATATAGGTATATAGGGGGGTCAAACCTCCAAAAACTCAAAGTATAGTTAGGATTTCTAAAAAAATCTCAAAACACAACTGTTTCTCACATTTTGAGGGGCGGTTCAAACCCCAAAAAAAAACCTGCCTACGCCCCTGCTGTTTTGAGAATGGTTACTAAAAAAGACTATAAAATTATGTCAGGCAAAAACAACAACAAAAACAAAGAGTATACTCTTATAAGTATGAATAATTAGATCCTATAGCTATAGCTATAGCTCATCCTTTCGGATGAATTCAAACTATGGTTTTAGCATTTTTTCGATTATACAGAACCATCAGAAAAGTCACCAGTTTTGGATCTTGGATGGCCTTAAACAGCCATACGAAAAAGCAGCCACTATAGTATGTACTATAATAATTATCGTCTATAGCAATTTGTATTCCGAACATTTAGCAGTCAATTTCCATGTAAAATTGTCCCCTGAATCCGAAAATGTCGTCAAAAGTTAAAAAAGTAGAACAGTTTTTCACTCTCTTAAAATTAATTAGTCAAAAATTAGTAATTTAATAGTTATTAGTGGCTGCTTTTTCACTTGTACCTAATGTCAAAAGTTTAAAAAGTAGAACAGTTTTTGAGATATAGTCAATTTTCCATTTATAAATAAATAAATAATATTATAATATGGAATTGGCTATATCTCAAAAACTGCTCTATTTTCATAATTTTTGACGGTATTTTCGGATTCAGGGGACAATTTTACATAAGAATTGGCTGTTAAATTTTGGGATACCATGGTATTCCATGGTTAACCATAATACAAGTGAAAAAGCAGCCACTAATAAGTTATTAGTAATAACTATTAAATTAGTCATTTTTGACTAATTCATTTTTAGAGAGGAGATATAGTCAATTTTCCATTTAATATGAAAAACTATATTGAATTGACAAACATTTTTTACTGTGTAAAGGAAATTTCTTAATTAAATATAACCATAATACAGCAAAACACCTTCAAAAGAATTCTTCTGATTATTTTATCTTATTGTTATTTAACAACTTCTTTACCAAACGCCCAATAATTGCCCATAATTGCCTTAAACTGTTTAGATCAAAACACTTAAGATACCCACTACCTACTACCTCAACCGTTATGCCCAATGTATCTGTAAATGACTTCCTAATAAATCAAATACTTCGAACAATGATCAAGCGATTTTTTGTGGGGCTTTCAGAAACGTATCAATAGGTCGTTTTTTAGAAATTATTAAGGTTTTAGGGTCGGGCGTTAAAAGTTTTTAGTTGTACAGGATTGGATTTTTACGTTTAATTATAATTATAATTTAACCAATCGAAGCACGGCATTCTCTGTCGCAATCTAGTGTGCTGTGGAGAATGCCGTACTCTGATTGGTTAATCCTAAATTGCAATTCCGATCAAACGACTTTATATATAACAGTTCCACTTTATATAACTTTTTTTGTAATAAAAAAATATTTTTTGGATGCAAACTTTTGGGGGCAATGTTCTGTGCCCTTTCGGCTCCGACCCTGTCCAAAAAACATTAGTAAAAAATCGCCGATTCATCCGCCACTTACCCACTTTTCCAGGCCTGCTATTATTTCGTAGCAGACTTATTTCACAATGATATTCAGTTTTTCGACATCGAATATAAAAACAGGTTGCCGTTTGTACACTTTGTTAGTAAATTGAATTTAAGAATGGACTATAGGCAGGCAGCGGGTTAATAATAAAGAAAGAATGAAAGGTATGCTAATCGATTACGATATTGTGCTTTAATAAAGTGAAACAAATTCAATTTAATGGACATTTTACAGCCATTATTCTAATTAAATAACGCTGCAGGCCTCAAACTTTTGCATACGTTTCATGAAATACGAATTATGATTAAGTAAGTGCAGCTAATTACAAAACGCATTGTTCGGAATTTTATTGAAAATCCACTTTCTATACCTTTTTAATTACATGCACATTTTGTTTACTCATATTACAAGAAAATGTTGCAGTCAAATTTTTTAAAATCAATTATTTTATAATTTTATATTCCAAATGATTTAACAAAAAAAAGTTTGTAAAGTTAAAAAAATGCTGGTGAAGCTAATTATACTTACTATGGTTCAATTTGTATAGAAATAAATAAATTTATATATACATGGTAAAAAAATAGTTGTTAATTTTAACCAAATATTAACCAGATTTTATGTTAATCGAGGTCCACATAACTTTATGTTAAGTTTACAACCAAATGTAATCTGTTAACTAATTGAATAAGTAGTTTGTAATTATAACAAACATTTTGTAGATTTTATGACAAAATCCTATATCAATAATTCAACGAACCTTTTTGTAGACCCAGTAACAAAAGTATTTGTTGGAAATTGGAAATTATAATGAAAAGAATTTTAATAAAAAATGTTGCTTTATTAATCAATTTCCTAAACAAAAAAATTACCACATATATGCAATATATATAATAATAATATTTATAATATCTAATATTTATTGCTATCAATAATTTACAGTTTTTTAAAATTAAGCGTTTACAAAACATGAATATTAAAAACAAGCAATAAATACACTAAAATGTTTGTGCGTCTAAATAAAAATCCGAGTTAAAAACATTTAAAAATACAATTAAAAATACCAGTTATAAACATACAAATATACAAGTTAGAAACATACAAATATACAAGTTATAAACATACCTACAATACCTATTTAGTAAATACCTAATAGTTAGGAAAAAAGTTAATAAATATATAGGGTGGTCGTTAAAAATTAATTTTTTTGCGACGCCCCCTAAAAAGTTTCTTTTTGATGAAAAAACCCTGTGAATTTTTAATTAAAAACAACCTCAAGACGATCTAAGTTAATTTTTTGGTATAATCATGATTTTTGGGAATTTTTTATGAAAAATAAAATTTTATTCGAAATATAAACAATTATAGAGCCCAAATCAATAAAAAAACAATAGTTAATCGAAATAACAATAGAAAAAAATTTAAATTCAAAATTTTTCCCTGTTGATTTGGTCTATTAGGTAAATAAAAAAATGAAAGATATTCAAATTGATATTTTTATTTTAAAACTAAATTAGTACAAACGTAATTTTAATATTAAGATTTCTTCACTCCAAGGTGAAGTTATTTCATTGTTAATAATGTTTAAATATCAAAATATACTATATATATATATAATATACTATAGTATATTATGTATCAAGTTTTATAAACGCCATTTTAGTTACGAGTGTCTGGAGAAGTTTATAAACGAGTTGCATGCTATACTTTATCTACGACGAACACAAAACAGAATTTAAAGCCAATTTTATTTGTTAAAATTTTGACATCTGTCAACTGTCACCCGAATTTAACCTCACTTTTTCCCAATTTATAATAAAGCTAACTTCAGCCCGTGACGTAAAATGTCGAAAAGCCACTGTTATTAACTTCAGCCCGTCAATAAAACACCATAAAGTCACAGCTCATCAATGTAGGAGTAGATAAAAATTATTATTCCATATTTTCAGAAAAGACATGATTAGGTATACCTACCAAAAAATTAACTTAGATCGTTTTTAATTTAAAAAAAAATTCTCAGTGTTTTTTCATCAAAACCAAGCATTTTAGGGGCGTCGCAAAAATTTAATTTTTAACGACCACCCTATTATAGAAATACAAATACAAAATTGTACATTTTACTTTGCATATTATATTTCCAAAACTTTCGGTGAAATATTTTCCTTTTTTAAAATAATTACAAAACCTGGTTTTCTACAAAAAAATATGTTAAAATTTTACAAAAAT